AGATACTTCCAAACGCTTATCCTCCACTTTTCCACTTGTCCGTCACTCAGGCGCCTGGAAACTGCACCCACAAGCGCCTAAGGGCCTTGGTCGACCCGTTAGCACTCCGAAGCTTAAGTCAGTGCCCTTTGTTAGAGAGATAAGTGTTCAGAAATAGTATAGTGAGAGAAGCCAACCTGCGTAAATGCTATCGTCTGCCCCTATTTATACTCACCGAACCCGAGGTTGATCTCCGCCACGTCACCTCCCACATTCAATGCTCTGCGCCCCCAGACAGCTAACCGCCCTGTCAGACTCCTGACACCTGACTGGCATTCCACAGCTCTGCCAGGCTCCTGACACACGACAGGCGCCCGCAGGCCGTGGTCCACCATCCAGTTGATCGCCACCTGGCTTTTGATGCTCTATGTGACAGCTAACCGCCCTGTCAGACTCCTGACACCTGACAGGCGCCCCAGGCCGTGGTCCACCAGCCGGTTGGCCGCCACCTGGCTCTTGGTACTTTACTCTTTTGGGCTTTGTCCCCTAGCTCGCTGGGTAATACCCCCAACAAGTTTCATGTTTTTTACCCTTAGATAATTTGTTTCATCGAGAAACAAAAGATATTCAAGTCTAAGACATCAACCATGAAACATAATCAAATCCCATCATATCTCGGGGATCTAATGAAAGGGATTCAACCTACCAAATGAGCAAGAGCAACCTTGATAAGACTACAACCCACAAATTGAGTGCCAAAATGCCGGAAGGCCAAATGTACTAGTTGAATCTCTTGAAAGATATCACCACCACGAGCATCTTGAACATCAATCACCCTTATGAACCTGGGCATCACCAAAGAAGACCATCGAGGTCCATCCTCTGTTGCAGCACCACCATAACGCTTTACTGCACAAGTTAGAATAGACCCTACAGTATCAAGAACTACCCAACCACCAACACCATGCGAGTATATGCCCGAACGATTCCATCCACATAGCAAGATAGGATGAAGTTGAAGGCAACGTGGCCGATGTGGGAAAAGTCGGCCCATCCTAGACATGAACAGTCTGATCAATTTCACACGAAACATCTAGCCATTCCTCAACCTACAAAGAAAACATAATGCAAGAACCGCACGACTGAACTGAACAAAATCGAATACAACCAAGTTATGCGACTTCCTAATGCGCCAGAGTAAGGCTACCAGCTGCTAGTGATGGCAATGGGTCGGGGCGGGTATCTCAATATCCATGCCCCGCCCCACACTAGTACGGGTCAGGGCGGGTCGATCCATTCTTACATGCTATTTGAGAAAAATACACACACAAATTTACTTTTTATGATAAAACGAAGGGGAAAAGACTTGATGACTGAATAATAGTGATAATATAATAAGTAATTGAGTCTATTTAGTTGAAAGATTACGTCTAACTAGTTGAATAAAAGTCAAAATAGGAGATATATGAATGGATGGGGTAAAAAATTGACCTAGAACGAGCTAAAAATGGGGCGGGGAGGGGCATGGCGGGTCGGAAGTTGATACCCATGCCCCGCCCCAGGCTAATGCGGGTCGGTTAATACCCGCCCCAACACGGATCAGGTCGGGTATTACCCGATGGGGCGGGTTCAAATTGCCATCCCTACCAGCTGCACCACTTCATGCAGCCCATTCTTCGACTTCTCAAAAAACCTACGCCATAACATCACTAGATTATCCAAAGGCAACTGATATGAATCGAGGCTAGAACTACTGGATTCAAAGGTTACCAAAGTACGCAACCAACTTGATCTTCGAGTTTCCTCCAACAAACTTCAACGAAAAATTAAGATAATGATGGAACACGATCAAATAATCTCAACTTGCGAGAAGAGCCAATTGCTATTTGGGTAGAAATCGCCTACTTTAGAGTGGCTTGAGTTCAAGTCCTCTCATTTCTTAAGGAGAATCTTAAAGCCTTTCTATTGGTTGATAGTGGATTAGGTAGTTAATGGGGGTTAGTAGTTAATAGGTAGTTAAGGGTAAATGGGGTTATGCAAATATTATTAATATAATTAATTAATGATTCTCTTTCTCTCTCCTCCCATGATTTTCTCCATAACCCTCTCTCTACATTATAATTACAAAGAAATATTAAATTAATTTTATTTAATATTTAATAAAATCCGAATTTAATCATTTTCCTTTTCTAAAATGGAAATTGAAATTTAAAATATATTCCTCTCTCACATCTTAGCAACTTCCTATTAGTATTAAGTATTAACATTTTATAATTACATTATCAATATTTATAAATTGAATCATCATTAGGGTTTTTCATTGCATGGGTTTGGAATTTTTTGTTGTTAGGTATTCGTTTGTGTTATTATTAATGTTGTTCGACATGTTTTTAATAATTTATTTCATATGTAAGATTGCTTATGTTTAGTGATTTGAATTATTAATATTTTTTCGTTTATGTTTGTAACTTTGCCAAATATCATTATAAAGAAGCATACTTGTTAGGTATTCGTTTGTTTATGACATTAGCAAAAGTGAATTTACGTTAACTGATATAACTATGATTAATAATCTTTCAGTCTAAGTTAGTAACGTAGTTGGTGTCATTATTAATAGGTGTGTATAAGCATTATCAATGTTTGAAAAATAAGATATTAATAATATCTAATAAGGTACTTAACAATCATTAGTTGCTAGCATTATCAAAGTAAGTTTTTGGATGCATTATCCATTAAACACATGTTACTTATTAATGCGTTTTTAGTGCTATTTGACATTAAACATTGCATCTGAATATTATTAATATTTTTTATTACAAAAATCTATTTCCTTATCAATGACTTGATCATTCGATATTAATGATTTTTAATATCTTTATTAAAAGTTTAATGTCATTTATAATGTTGAAGTCGGACATTTTTACATTGATGTTTTGTGTTTATTTTCAACGAAGTACTTTTCGTTAACAATGATTTATTGTATTGTTATTAAAAGTTTGGTGTTGAGGCGTGAATGTTGGTTTGCTTGAGCTAATCTTTTTCTGGACAATGTTTGTTTGACTGAATCACACAGGTGCACTATGTCACAACTACCCAAGATGTTGAAAATCAGTATTGTGCTTTATGATCAATGAGAATGATAATGTAAAACAATATTAATTGATCATAAAACATTAATAATGTCATTAGAAATCATTGGAAGAGGCCATGACTTGATAGTTATAAACATGATGTGAAAATGTGAATCATTAGTACTAAAGATGTTGTAAATCAATTATATTGTTATTCAAGCTGTTAATGTCCATGTTACATAACTTTAATGATTCATTCATAGGCGTTGATGACGAAACTATAAAACAGTAATAATTGATCCAAAATTGTTAATAATGTAATTATAAGGAATTGATAAGTATATTGAAGTCGTTAATAATGATGAGGTATAATAATAATGTCATTTCATAAATGTTGATAATGTCATTGCAAAATGTTAATACTGTATTGCAAGTTGCCACGAAGTAGGGGTGGCTATACGGTCCGGTCCGGTTAAATTGGCCCAAATTGATCCGGTCCAGTCCGGTTTTTTTGAAAATATAAGGACCAAAAATTGGATTGGATACATTCCGGTCTTGATCCGGTCCGGTCTTGACCCGGTCAGGTCCCAATTCGGTCTTGATTTTATATTGAGATTGTGGGAATTTGAGTGGCCTAAGGCCTAAAAGGGTGAGGAGTTGGTTAAGTTTTGTACTAAGTGCAAAGGTTTGTGACCGTTTATGCAAATTACCCTTAAGTTTTGGGTGTTAAGCTCTCTTATCCGGTCTTTATCCGGTTTTTTACCTCAAATCTAAGCCCAAAGATTGGATTGGATTGTTTACTATCCGGTCCCGGTCCGGTCTCGGTCCGGGTTATACGGTCCGGTTTCCGGTTTTTCATCCGGTCCCGGTCCAAATAGCCAGCCCTAGGTGGCTATACGGTCCGGTCCGGTTAAATTGGACCAAATTGATCCGGTCCCAGTCCGGTCTTTTCGGGAATATAAAGACCAAAGATTGGATTGGATACAATCTGGTCTTGACCCGGTCCGGTCCTAATTTGATCTTGATTTTAGGTGTTGGGGGTCTCTTATCCGGTCTTTATCCGATTTTTTTACCTCAAATCTAAGCCCGAATATGAGATTGTATTGTTTGCTATTCGGTCCCAGTCCGGGTTATACGATCCGGTTTCGGGTAAAACCAAACAGTCCCGGACCAAATAGCCAGCCCTACCACGAAGTGAGAGAGAGCATATATTTTTAATTTTCAAATTTCATTTTAAAAAATAAAAATATTAAGTTCGAATTTATTAAATATTAAATAATAATATTTAATTAAATTAATTTCGAATTTCTTTTTAATTGTAGTGGAGAGAGAGGGTTATGAAGAAAATCAAGGAAGAGAGAGAAAGAGAATCATTAATGAGTAATATTAATTATATTTTCATAATATCTTATTTATTCCAACTAACTAACTAACTAACTATTAACTACTAACCCCTAATTAACTACCTAATCTAGTATCAGCCAATAAAAATAGTTTAAGAACCTCCTTAAACAATGAGGCTTAAGGACCGGATCCAACCCGAGTTAGAGTTGGATCATGACCTCTCTGATACTATGTAAAATCTACTAAAATGCGGAAGCACAATACAACGATTTACGTGATTTCCTGTTCAATGAGAACGAGACTACTCGACGAAAAGCCAATGCTCTCATGTTATCTTATTATTCGTAGCAGTATAGTAGGTGTGCATATATCCAGTCTCGGCACCATCCACTGCTAATATACCATGTTTACGACTTACGTTGCTCCTTAGGGTGATTAGGTTACAAATAAAATAACAGAAAAGGTACTCAAAGATAATAAGAAATACAAAGAGGGACACAATTCAACACTATACAACAAGAATTTAATATTCTGGTAGAATGTTGTTTCGATCCAATAATAATAATAATAATAATAATAATAATAATAATAATAATAATAATAATAATAATAATAATAATAATGCACATTTAAGTTGTCAGGAGGGACCTATCTTGGTCACCTGAAAATTGAAAGCAATTACATGTACAATCATCATCGTCATCATTTTGGTTTCTCTATCTTTAATTGGCCAGGTAAGTTCATTTGACTATAACAAGGAGAAAGACATGAATAAACCTCACCCTCCGTAAAAATGAATTAATTCGTTAAGTAAAAAGAAAAAAGAAAAAAAAAAAGGTAAGATCAAACGAGAAGCAAAAAAGGAAGAATTTGGTTGAGTTTAGCTTTTAGTCTTCGGCTTCTTGAGAACTTGACTCGTTTTCCCTTGATTGCTAAACAGTACTTCACTTTCATTATCCTATTGAGATCATATGAAGGCATAAATCTGGTTAATACCCACAGAAATCGACCGACGACAATGAGAAGACAGCGCGGGAAATTGTTGATTTGCACCTACCTTGGCAATGGACGACGAAGCCATATTGGATCCCTTTCCAACCTCAATCTGTACAGAGATGCTGGCCTGTGACAAGTCCACTCCTGAACTCCGTAGTGCTTCTGTGAGATTGCTCAGTAGCCTGCATTATCCATTCCCAAACCCATATCTCAAACCCCAAAAAACTAAGATAGGCTCATAATTATCATTCAATTCGAATCAATCGACATGAAATTTACTGGAAGACGACACACACTTACCCGCGAGAGTATGCACTTGAGATACTGATCGTACCACCTTCAACATTCAGGTCTTGGTCCTTGAGGTGGTCGCCAGCGTGGACAAACCCATTAGGTCTGAAATGGCCTGGTTGGGATTGTGGTTGAGTTGTAACGCTGTCGATGTTCGTTTTAACCTGAAGGGAAGGTTGAGCCGAGGTACCACTGCAAGCTCTCACCGGATTTAATGGGTTGGTCTGCAGTGACATTGGAAACGGCATTGCTTTATTTGGTATTCCAGAATGATGGTGATGATGATGATTCATTGCTTTGGGAGTAGTAGCGGAGCTTGTATCAGAGTCGGCTGGTTTCTGCGCGCCAAGGCCGGGGATGGTGGCAGAGATTGACGCATTCTTGTCATCCAACTTTGGGGCATATTGTAACCCGGATGAATTAGCATCCTCATTCGTAACTCTTGACTGGTCGACGTAACTTTCTGCAGTCCTATTGTTGCTTCTCTGCTCAAGTAGAAAACAGAGTAAAACAATGAGTTGAGTTGAGTTGAGTAGCAGCAACAAGCACCAAGCTCGTCCATCCTGCTTTGCGTATGCGCACGGATTTCTGCAATTACGATCGAGAAAAGTAAAGTAGGTAGTGTTTACCCATTGCACCAATTTTGCAGCTTCAAGGCTCCATCCCTGGTATGAGCCTTGTTCATATTTATGAACCTTGTCGTGTAGAAACTGAATGTACTCAATCACCTGGGAAAAGAAAAGAGGCAGGCGTTCCAATCAAGATCAAAACCAACACCAAAATGAAAAACTGACGAACAACAAGTGGGATCGGATTTGGGAATGAAATACAAACCTCTAACAGGAATGATGCCTTGTCTCTCTTCTGATCACTATGGGGTATGATTTCTCTCAACATATGAAATCTGGAACATGAAGCCACAATTATCAACATGTTCCAGAGGATGAATGAATGAATGAATGAATGAAATTACAGTGAAGTTCCAGAAGAGGAGATCGATGGTGACATGCCTGTCATTTATCTTGCTCCTCCTACGTTGCTCGGTGGCGGAATGTTTTGACCGTGGAGTGTTAGCTTTCTGGTCACAGCTCTTGCCATCAACTCTTACATTCAAGTCCTCCGCTGGCAAGTTAACAAGAAATATGAGGCGAGAAAGAGGCCAGAACAGAACATGGCAGAAGACCCGACCGCATTCTACACAAGTAACTCATCAATCAGCAGACATACCTTTGCCTGGGCTTTCTTTCTTAAGAATGAAATCCTCCTCATCGTCCAAATCTTCATCAACCTTTGTTGACTTCATCATTTCCATAAAGCTCTTTCTCTTGTGCCCTGCTGCCCTGATAAAGATGGCAATTTTCAGTGGTTCGGTTCGGATGAAGCTCAGTACAAGTGAAGACAGACAAGGAAAAACAGAATGGGGGAGAAAGCGACAAACTGAGGAGGAGAAAGAGAGCTGAAATGGTTGCTGTGGTAGTTGGTTGAAGGCCTCGCTTCTGTTTGTTTACCTGCCACACCAAAAGTAACGTCAGCCAGAACTGGTACCTAGTCTAGTCTAGTCTAGTCGGTTAAACAAAACCCACGAAATGGAAGTGTATACATATTGATCATCAACAAAATATTTATTTAGAGTGTGGTACAATTTACCGATCCATAATAGGTTACTGCTCTACAATAATCATCTGATTTATCAGTGATTACATAATTACTGGGGATAAGGTTCAAGGATACAGGCTCAGTTGGATGTGTGTATTGTGATTGTGTTCTGGAGACAAAGGACCACTTGTTTGCAGAATGTTCTGTTTTCATATGCAGGACTGTTTCCCTAGAGATCAATGCCAGATAGAGCTTCAGTGGGCGATGAATGTGTTTAAAGGTTGCTCAAGCTGGAAAACTCATTTGGCAGGCTCTATTAGCTACGTATGTCTGATGAAGTATGGTGGAAGGCACAAGGATGCGAGTGAGCTGCTCATCTTAGTCAAAAGAGATGTCAGCCTACTGTTGATTCCCAGTATTACTACCCAGTTCTTTATTTGAAAATTGTATGTTGTTGCTTGGATTTTGTTTGACAAGTATTGTAGAGCTAGCCTACTTGTTTGTTACTCACTTGGCAGAGTTTGTTGTCATTACTACTTTGGAAATTTGATGAAATACAACCAATACCCGATTCATAAGAAAATTATGATTTAAAACCAAAAAGATATTTTTCATAAACGTGTGATTATTTATAAGAGGAATTTTACAATGCTATATAGGAATTTTACAATGCTATATAGCATTGGTGCTATAGGTTTTTGCCTTTATGGTACAACTTGAAATTGTATCTTTAACGTTATGGTACAACTTCAGATTGTACCTATACTTTTGTACAAATTCTTTTATGGTACAACTTAAACTTGTACCTTATGTGATGGTACAACTTCAAGTTGTAAAGTTGTACCATAACATAATGATACAAATTCCTTTATGGTACAACCTAAACTTATTCATTTAATGCTATGGTACAACTTCAAGTTGTACATTAAAGCACCAACTTGAAATTGTATCTTTAACGTTATGGTACAACTTCAGATTGTACCTATACTTTTGTACAAATTCTTTTATGGTACAACTTAAACTTGTACCTTATGTGATGGTACAACTTCAAGTTGTAAAGTTGTACCATAACATAATGATACAAATTCCTTTATGGTACAACCTAAACTTATTCATTTAATCCTATGGTACAACTTCAAGTTGTACATTAAAGCACCAATGCTATATAGTATAGTAGAAGTGCTCTATTTATAACAAGATTATGCATAGCATTATGTCTTTAACCTTATCGTTCATTCACAAGAAACAAAGTGCACATGGTCCTTTTGGGTAGTTGGGAATCGTAGGGCTGCAAATGAGTTGAGTTGTTGTCAGCGGCCCGGCATTCGACTCGGAAAAAGTTTGTTCGAAACTTGGCTCGTTTATTAATGAGTCGAGCTTGAGCTTAGCATTCTGCAGCGCGCGAGCTAGCTCGACTCAGTGGCTTGTTGAGCTCAACTCGTGAGATGACTCGTTTAGAGCTCATGAGAGATCCCAACTCTCAACATTGTGACTTGAGAGCCAACTCGATTATCGAATTATGAGCTAATCGATCTATATGAGTTACATTTTGATAATTCAAAGGATCGTTAAATTATATATCTCACCCTATATGAAGTTTAACACATAGATTATGTGAGCAAATGTCTTATTTAATTTTTAAAAATAATTATATATCATAGATTGCTTCGATACTATGAAATAACACAATCTTCACTAGTTAAAATTTATTAACTAAATAATTTGATACCACAGTATAACATGAGATTAGTTAATATTGAACACAACTGTTATTATTATTTTCTTCATCTTGACCTTTTTTGGTAGACAATATTTAAGAAGAAGAAAAATGCATATACATAGCGCAATAATTTTAAAAACAAGACTCGACTAGTGGATCAATTTTATAAAAGACCAATTCGTATTTTAGTTTATTGGAGAGAATAAAATCCACTAGGGGTAATCACAGCTTCATACTCTCACATGTAGTATGTCCATAGAGAAAAATGACGTAAATTTAAGAAACTCAAGGTCGTTCACATGGTATATTTCTTCCATGGTTGAACGAACTTAAATATAACACACATGCATGGAGTTATGGATTACAATTATGCATCTATGGTAAATATATCCAAACCCAAATAACTAATTTATTATGTGTAGAACATTGTTGAAGTATATATGGGTATGAGAGTTTGTAATAGGTTTGGGTTAGATATGGAGTTAGTGATGACAATTACTCATCAATGGGTAAATTTATCCAAACCCAAATAACTCATTCATTATGTATAGGGTATGGGTGAAGTATATAATGGGTTTTGGAGTTTGTATATGAGTTTGGGTTGTATTTGAGTATTGCTTCCATAAATTAAATGAGCATGGGTTGGGTATATGCCCATTTATTTGAGGTTGTTTTAAACATAAAAAAATTGGACCTATTTGTAACACTTAAAAGTTAAGGTGTCAAAACGTAAAGCACAAAAATTTAATTACTAAAATATAATTTTCCATCGATATTCAGGACTTATGTACAAATTTTTTTGAATTTAGGGAATATAAAGTTCTATTAGTTTAGTTACCAAATTATAAATTGCATATGGGTATGGTACAAACTCAAACCCTGGATTAAAAACTCAACCCAAATAAATGAATATGGGTATAAATCTATCAAACTCTACCCATTTAACATGTATTTGAATTTCATACGAAACTCAATTGGTTGGATAAGAAAATATTCATAGGTTTGAACAAAATTGTCATCCCTAACCGGGGCGGGGTCAGAGTGTGCTCGGGTGCCTCGACCGGAGAGTATTAGGGCTCGTTTGGAGAATTGTAGTCTAAATCTCTAGATTATCAACAATCTAAAGATTCTAATTCTGTGGATTATTGAGAAAAAAAATTTAAGAAATTATTTGGTTATTGTGATTGTTAACATCCAATTAAAATATAGATTCTAATTATTTATGAAATGACATTTTTATCCTTAACCAAAAGAATTAAAGTAACACAAAAAAAAATGAGAATTTATTTGTAAGGTTCTTTAATGGAATGAACAAAACAAAAATAGATAGTAGGAGAAAGAATCTCACAAATCAAAATATAATGAGAGATTGATGTCTATAGATTTTATGAATTTGAAATTTCTGAAACTAAAATTCGTAATACAAAAGGTAGCAAAAAAAAAAAAAACATTACTTTATGTCAAAGCTATGGATTGAATGAATTTATGGTACAAATCTTTTTCTCGAAACGAGTCCTTAATATATTTCTCGTATTTGGGTGTTTGATAAATAAACATTAAGTATAGAAACATGAATTTCAAAATATAATGAAAATAGTGTATATGATTAGTATGTTGTTAAACAAATAAAAGGTTTGAAGTTAAAATTTTATCTCATGTAAGTTTTATTATCTTATGGTCAAATTAAACTTCATTTTTTATCTTACGTCAACTTTTCTCATTTAATAACAATAGGTTTTATTTATTTTTATTTGATTTTCTTTACCTCGTATTGATTTTGTAATTTGAGCTCAACTCTCACACTTGAAATTAGAGAAACACAAGGCGGAAAGGAAAGAGAAAAAAGAGGGAGATGGAGTTAGGAGAGGTACCTATTAGGAGGGCGTTGGAGGTGTGGGTCATAATATTCTTATTCTCCTTCCCTGTCTTTCCCTTGTTGAGTGCAGTTTCATCCCAAAGGGTGAACCCACTTCCGGTTCCGGTGTAACAAGTAGAATTGGAAGTCTCATCGTTTGTGTCGACAACAGTGGTAGTGGTTTGAGGATTGTTGAAATGTGAAACATGGTTGATAGTGTACGTCCCAATACCTCCAGGAAGTGTATGTTCCACGGAAGTTGCAGGGGTTGCTTCCTCGCCCTCGCCTTCTTCCTTGGCTACAGCGGCGCAAGGTGGACCGCCTCCCCGTTCTAGCGGTTGAAGAAAATCGTGAGTCTTGAGGTAGCCACCTACTCAAGCATCAAGGCAACACAACATATGAATAATTAAATATATATATTATTCATGTTAACTACTCACTCTAACCCGTGCTGTACCTATGTAAATGTGAAACGATGGCCGTGTTTAGCATGCATGCACAACAATCAGTCATCAAAGAGAGTGAGTGAGTAGAGTAGAGTAGAGTATATCACTGGTTTTGGCTTCCCCCGACAAGGACAACCCTTTTTCTTTGGTTTTCATTCCCGGTGAAAGCTTGGTTACCGGGATCCCGGCTAGAGATGTAAAAATATCTGTAATCGTGGATATCCGTCCGAATCCGGTCTAATCGATTAGGGGTAAAAGTCGAACCTGAAGGACATTTAGTGGGTATGGGTAAAACCCGAACCCGAATATTGCGGGTAATGGGTGGCCATGGATTTCTCACCATCCAAACCTACCCGATTATACACATGGACATGTATTTTGTCTATAAATAATCATTATTTTCTCTAACATAATTTATATATAGCATATATATATATATATATAATATTTTCATGAAATTGTGTTGTTTTAATTAATTTTTTTCATTCTAGTGAAGTATTGTTGTAATTTTCCTCTTAGGTAATGTGAGAATACGTATGAATGTTAACATATTTGTTAGAGTTATGAAGAGAAATTATTACCCATGGATAACCGTGGATATCCAAAACTAGAACGGGTATTGGCATGGTTTTGATTTTCTACTCGTTTCACATGTTGGTATGGGTATGGGTAAAACCCGAACTACTTTGGATAGGTTAACTGATATGCACTATCCGCCGCCGACCCGACCCATTGACATCCCTAATCCAACGGAAATCAAAGCATAATTATTCCTACCCTCCCTATCTAATTAATATGATGAACCGTAACCCACGATTCAAGGGTTTTGCTTGTAATTCACAAGCGAGAGAAAGACTTGGTGTCCATAAACTTTTGATTTGTTTGATTGATACGTAACTAATGTCAAATGTACATATTCATAGGCTTAGAAAAGCCTAATACTTAACCTAACTCTAACCGAAATCCTTCTCCTACTTGGCTACCCCAACCCCAAACTCAAAGAAAACCTACAACAAACACTCACGCCCAAAAATAAAAACTCAAACCGAAAATAATGTCATCATAATACGAGCACAACCATCATGGTAAGGCATTCCTGTTTAAAGTTAATCCCTCTTTTTTTGTCTTTTCCTAGTTTCCAAGATAGAGATAGCTGATCAACACCTAGGCTAGCTAGTTGCATGAGAGTCAGAGTTAGAGCTATAAAAAAATGTATATATTTGAGACATTGAGTTGCCGCTAAACTTTTATGCGGGAATCCAGGAGTCCTGATGTTCCATTTCCATGAAAGAAAAGGGGGTACATTTTCTTATTATTGGGTCAGAACTCAAAACATTATGTGAATGTTTGATTTGAAGAAGAAGAAGAAGTTGAGGTGAGGAGAAATGCGAGTGATGAGCGCACTTGTAGTTGTACACTCTGTTTGGGAAGAGGGGTAAATGGGAGGAGGGTGCAAATGTGAGGGGTAAACACAGTTTCCAACACATTTGCACCTGTTTGGTTAATTTGGAACAGTAGGGGGGTGCAAAACGAGAGTGCAAATTTACTGTTTCGGCTTACCTCCCGAATTGGGGTGCAAAGGAAGGAAGGAAGAGAGGGGGAGGGGGGAATTATGGAATTTTGTTTTTCTAATTGTGTTATATATAATTATATAATAATTAATATTATCAATTTCTTCTTTTTATAAATATCATTAATGTAAACATTATTCGGGGTTGACCATTTGACTCTGGAAACAAGTTTATAAATGTTCGTCAAGTCAAATCTAGATCTCTTGGTTGAATCGAATTTGCATTGAAAATTAGATATACAAGGTGTTTGTGGAAAAGATAGAGAGAAATTGCTTGGTTAACTCATTTTATTTGACTAAATAGTTAAAACTTACAAATTCGAACGTGTTTGACTAAGTTTGACAATTTAAGATTAAACTAGACACGAAAACCCTATATAGGATGACCAGTTAGGAGTTGAGCTTCGAGTTTTGAGATCGCTCGATCAATGATTATTACAATTGTTATAATTAATTATTATTTGAGCATTATTATATAATAACTATTTTTAGTAAAGTATATTTATTATTATATAGTAATATTTATTTTATTATTTTATGATAATATTTATAATTTTAAAATCTATTTTATAATTTTAAAATCTATTTTAAAATAATATAATTACTTACTTTGCACTTTATTTGCACCCCCTACTTTTTCATCCAAACAACAATTTACCCCTCCACTTACACCCCCAGCAATTTGCACCCCCAGCAATTTGCCCCTCAACTTGCACCCTCCTGCAATTTGCACCCCACTTGTTGCCAAACAGAGCGGTAAGAAACACAGCAAACACACGCGGACACGGGTAAAGAGAAGAGAGGTCCTACGTCCTAGGGTGGGTGTTAAAAAAAAATAAAAATAAAAAAAATTGATAGGGAAACGTTCCTTCCGTCCACTCGGTGCTTGTGGATGCTAAGTTAAGTGGTACATCCATCCAGCGTGTGTCTGTCTTTTCTCTTTCCTTTTCGGATTTGGCAAAAGAAAACAAACACTATTTCCTTTCCAGGCTGGCCCCACTGCCGCACAATCCCACCACCACCCCAGATCCCATCCCATCCTTCAATTGGAGTCACGTGCACTTGACAAACCATCCATCGAATCGTGATTGCCAACCACCACCCCAAACTTTAAACTTACAGCCTCATGCCTTGCCTCGTTTTGTTTTCACAAGGCGATTTCAAAATATTTGCAAATACAAGACACGTTCATTTTGATCTACAAAATAGTATTCACCCTGATCTGATCTGAGGTTGTAAAAAGTTAGTAAATGATAGATTAATATATTTCTATTACACTATTAGATATGGGATGGATGAGCTTATTTTGATCTACAAAATGAAAATTAATTTTCGATAAAGTTACCAAATTGTATCAATATCATTTAATTCTATATCACCATAAACGACTAGCTTATTTTGTCGTAAACAGATGAGAGGAGAGCGGGGGGGAGGGAGGGAGAGAGCACCTTGGGCTTGATGAGAAGAAGGTGGCCTGGGGCTGACATCTTGTAGGCTAGTCGTTGAATGACTAGTGTAGAGCGAGAGAAAGTCGTGTGTTGGTTTCCTTCCTCCTGCGGATCGGAAATAAACATTTTCCTTTATCAACAGATAACAACACAACAATCCCCGCCCCAAAAACCACCCCCTTCGCTCCATCGCTTTATTAACCCTCCCTACTCGACTGCTGCTTAATTGCTTCTCATTTGAAAATCAGAAAATTAAAACACACAAGAAACAATGTAATTTAGACTAAGACAAGAGACTACCTTCACCACCGAAACTAGGACGCTGAGGAAGCTCCATTTCACAACTGGGATGGACCAACTCTTTTTTTTTTTTTTTTTTTCCTGGAACTTCTTCTCTCTACTTTCCGAATTTACCCTGCCCGAAATTCACTGATCCATACCTCAAACTACGAGCCCCTCGAGCTTAATTGGCTGGGCAGAGAATTTGAAAGATGAAGAATCTCGTCCCCAATTTCTCAGATCTGCTTTCACCGGAATCTCGGTTACGGCCGGAAATAGGGAGCCGCATTCGCACCAAATTCAGCTTTCTTTCTAGGATGCTCGCCGGACGCTAAGATAATAATTCTGCCAAACCAACTGGCCAGCTTCCAGAACCGAATTCCGCTTAATTCCAAGCAAAATCCTACTTCGCCGACCCCAAATCAGCAGAATTCCGTCGCCTGAAGGTGAATTACGTTTCACAACACACAGGAGGAGGAAAACTTAATCACAGTTATCGGGGGAGAAAATGAAGTCGACGAATTACACAGAAACTCCACTCATAATTCACACACAGCAGCAGCAGCAGACGGCAAAGGCAAGATCGAAAAGAAAGAGAGAAACGGAAGCAACTTCCAGCTAGAATAGAAATCTACCTCTGATCTGAATTATGGGAATTCGGGTGGAGCTCCAGAGAAGGAAATCGATTATTTTGGCCCGATAATGCACTCGTCCCGAATTTTTTATCCAAATACTTCTGTCTCCCCTCCCCTCCACTCCTTAATTTTTCTTTCTTTTTAGCTTAGTTTTTCTCCCTCTCCCCTGTTTTTCGAAGAACAAGCAGTGCTCCAAAAGAAAAGGCCGGAGAAGAAGAAAGCAACTCCTTCTCTTTCTCTCTCTTGCGGCGCGCTTGCTTGCATTGATGTTTTATATACAGTATTCTGTTGGGTTAATTGCAAGGATGGTCACTGGGATTACTAAAACCGTTCATGTTTGGTCACTGCAAATATTTAATTTCATTCATGGTCACTAAAATTAGTTCAATAGTTCAAGTTTGGTCACTCTCCGTTAGTCTCCGTTAGTTTTTGCTGATGTGGCAGTCAACTATTATAGTTGACCGTTAAATGAGTGACGTGGCCATTAAAAAAATAATAAAATTTAAATATTTACAATTTCCACTTCATTTTACAACTATTAAAAAATAAAAATAAAACTTACCTCCTCCCCAGGAGCTCGTCGATTGCTGCAGCGTGAGGCCCGCCCCGCCGCCGGACGCTGGGGCATTGTTGAACCGACGTAGATGTCTACAGCGAAGGCGGTTGGCACGCAGGGATTGTGAAGGAGATACTTGGGAATTCCAAGTACCTGGTGGCGTTCGCTTGTCGGAGTGAAGGAATCGTGGCGGAGCAGTGCACTCTCAGGCACCATCGGGACTGGATTGGAGGCGATTGGTTCCCGCCTCGCCTCTACGGCAAGTCCTTCCGCCGGTAAGGAAAAATGAGAAAAATCGCGACATTTCTAGGGTTTTCCATTGTGCGTGTTTCGATTTGCATAGATAGAAACAACACCAAACTGCTTCGCTGACAATGTTGATAATGGCGGCGGCAACCAAAAAGCGAATGGTCCTTCTGTCCAACGTCCCGCATTGCTGAGGAGGAGGAGTACTGCTACTGCATTCGTTGAAGCATAGGTTGATGCACTCGTCATCATCGTCCGACGGCGGCGGCGACGGAAGGGAGTCGTTGCATCGGTTGAGGCAATTCTTGAAGCATCTCGGCAGGGCGTCCGGCGGCGGGGCGGGCCTCACGCTGCAGCAATCGACGAGCTTCTGGGGAGGAGGTAAGTTTTATTTTTATTTTTTAATAGTTGTAAAATGAGGTGGAAATTGTAAATATTTAAATTTTATTATTTTATTATTTTTTTAATGGCCACGTCACTCATTTAACGGTCAACTATAATAGTTGACTGCCACATCAGCAAAAACTAACGGAGACTAACGGAGAGTGACCAAACTTGAACTATTGAACTAATTTTAGTGACCATGAATGAAATTAAATATTTGCAGTGACCAAACATGAACGGTTTTAGTAATCCCAGTGACCATCCTTGCAATTAACCCGTATTCTGTTCCTTTTTACCCTTGGCTTTTGGTTCTCTCCATCTATCTTCGCCGTTATGTTGTGAGGAAACGGCGTTTCTGTTGCGGCGGAGATGAGTGACGGTGTCAGGGTGGGGCAATTTGGTCTTTGTGGCTTATCAAATTTAATATAAAGAAAGAAACCATATCTTCATTGGCCAAGCCAAAGGAAGGGAAGAGGGATGCATCGTTCGCAGTCGCAGATGCTGCTGCTTTATTTCTTGCTGCGTTGCGTTGCGTTGGGGGCGGGCTGTGAGTTGACAGTCACGGAACTAAAATATTTTACTTTGTGGGTTGTCAGTTTTTTAGTGTTTCCCGTTTTTGGCGATCCCGATATTGTTTGATGATTTCTTATTGTTTTCTAAACAGCTCCCCTTAGGTTAGATTTTACATTGAAATGTCATTAGGAATATTTTCCTTTCATATAAGTCACTAATCTAAATGTCTGCTTCATCTTTGTCGGTTCAATTTCATTAACTGCATCGGCTAAATTATATGTTTGATCACTCAAATTATCAATTCGTTTATACATGTCATCGTAAATATTTTTTTCTTAGCACTTGTCGTCAAATTCCATTAACTTCATCTATGTGGCAGTTAATAGTGATTTTTTTATTGTTAAGTAGTTGAAGTGTCTAATAAAAAAATAAAAAAAACTAATAAATAACTATCTTTGATTTTTTGTTTATCGGTTGAGGTGGGAACAGATTAGCCGGACAATCCTTTCATATTGGAAACTTAAAGTGCTTACATTTTATAGACCGGAGCGCAATCGAAAAGTCTTACCAAAGTATTCCCAACGAGGATCTTTTGGTCTGACAGTCTCGAATTTATTGACCTCCATTCCCATGAGATCATTGCCCCCATTCCAGAGACTCTTCCCAAAAACTCATTCTTCTTTGACTCGTTGATTCGGGCTCAATTGTACACATTTTACCCCTGGTTTCCTTAGTCATTTGAGGCATTTTTACTCCAGGAGGTTTGCTTTTACATACTATGGCAGGTGGGACCAACCCCAAAGTCGAAAGTTGGTCGAAAGGACGAAAAATCAAGTCAATGGGTGGAAGCAGCAGCTAGGGGTGGGCATTCGGTCGGTTCGGTTTGAACCGAACCGAATAGGTGACTACCGAGGTTCCGATTTAGGGTGCAGTCCAAACCGAATTCGAACCGAAATATAATTCGGTTCGGTTTGTCCGAACCGAATTATATTCCGGTTCGGTTCGGATTTCCATGCAAAACCGATATTTATGACCGCAGGGACAAAAAATAGCCCCTCTCTTCTCTCACCCTTGAACTTGAACGACCCAACACCCCATCCCACCCCACCTCTTCTCTCTCTCTTTCTCTTTCCCTTTCCCTTTCCCTTTCCCTTTCCCTTTCCATTCATTCATTCCTTCCCAATTTTCTCCCTCTCCATCTCTGATCTTTCTTTTCCCCTCTCTGCTACTAGCGAACTCCAAATCTGAAACCACCAACATCCAAACCCGAATTCAAAAGAGAAGGCAGAGGAGTTGAGGAGGCCCTAAAAAGCCAACCTTTCTCCCATCTCTCGGTATTTCTTCTCTCTTCATTGACTCACAAAAAACCCAATCTATCTATTCTCCTCTCTCCCACTTCAATTCCTCGTTTTTCCTTCTCCCCTCTTCGGCGGCAATATCCAGATCCGGCTCCCACCGAGAACCTTCCATTCCCGCCATTTTGAACTTTGCATGTGGTTGCCGCCCTTATAAAGAGGAAGCTCACCGATGACAGTGGAAGAGGAAGGTCACAGGCGCCGACAGAGGCCACCGATGACACATGCACGGTCACGGACGGCACGATAAGATCTGGAAATTGGAAGGAGGAGCGGCGGCTGTGATTGTATCAAAGACATCTCACACGTGGAGAAGAATCTCGTTTCGGCAGCGGAGGGAGGAGCGGCGGCCGTTGGTGTCTTGGAGAGTAGGGTTGTGAGTTGTGGTTTTGGGGGTAATGGGCTTTAGGAGAGGTCTGGGTTGGTGGGTGTAATGGGCTTGTAAAGTAGGTTGTGGGGGATTGGGCTGGGTAGAGTAACAGGCTTAGCAGGGGTGGGTAGCAGAATTTCGGGATTTCGGTTCGGAGTTCGGAATTCGGGTTCGGTCATGACAACCCTGGTTTCCGATATACCTGTATTTGGCTTCCGAATTCCGAACCGAATAGCAATTGTTCGGTTTTGGTTCGGTCAAAATCGGTTTCGGGTCGGTTCGGTTTGGGTTTACCGAACCGCATGCCCACCCCTAGCAGCAGCAGATCACGATGGAAGTTGTGAGTTCACGGTCACTAAGACCGTGAACTGGAGTCGCTAGCCCTGAACCGCCAAGCATCCAGGCATATTTCAGTCTCACTAGACTCATGTCAGTTCACGCTCGCAAGACCGTGAACTGAGGTCATTTCCCGTGAACTGGACTAAGTGATGCAGCACGTTTTGACTTGAGATCACGGTCCGTGCTTTCAGTTCACAGTCGTGAACTGGAACAGTGATCTAAGCCCGATCTGGGTATAAAAGGAGGCTTGAGTTGAAGGGAAAAGGAGGGAGAGACCTAGTATGAGAAACTTCTTCTTCTTATTTCTATAGTGAGAAAGTGACAAACCAACGAAGAGAAGAAGCTAGGGTTTCATCTTCAAGCAAGGATTTGAGAATTCCTCCCTCAACAGAGGATCTCTTCAACACAAGGAGCAAAGCTAGCATCTCCATGATGGTTTTCCTTCTTCACTCTTGTGTTTTCCCTTTTCCTGGCATGGAGTAGTCTCTTATATCACTTAGGTGTTTGTAAACCCTAGATATAATTATGTTAATGTTTGTATGAATTGAATGATTTGTGTGTGGATGTGCTTTAACGTGAATTTAGAGGTATTTTCATGAAAAATTGTGTTGTGTGTTTGGCTATCAATCTATTTGCCATTCTAATCTAGGTAGAGAGAAACCCCGCTTTCTTTGAAAGAGGCTTGTAAAGTTGGGTTTTCTTAGGCAAATCATTGTCTCCTATCTAGGTTGATGTAGATTAGGGATGGCAATGAGTCAAGTTGGGTTGGGTTTTGCCATACCCATGGGTTTATCCGTGAAAAAAACTCGGGGTAAAACCCCACTACAAGAAAACCTAGATTTAGAGACAAATAATTAGAGACAATTATAGTATTAGTCTCTATATCTAAACAATAGATGAAAATATGTTATTTGCTTCGATATGTCATGTTATTTGTTTCTGTATCTTATTATTCTCTTAAATTTTATATGAAATAAATTAAATTAATAGTTTTAGAGACAATTATGCTATTTGCTACTATATAATATATTGCACGTTAAAACAAAGCATGTACGGAGACAGATAAAATTATTTCCAAATATTTTTGTGTTATAAAAATTTTATTTAATAAATTTTATAGTTAGAAAATGGAGAGACTGTCTTTCCACATTCCCCCTCCTACTCCCTCACCCTTTCTCTTTCTCTCCTTTCATCCCATTTAATCTCCTCTCACGTCACGTCTAACCCTCAAATCCTAATTTTTTTCCGATTCCCAATCCTGATAAACCCTAATCAGCCCGACCACAGATCCTTCTGGCTATCGCCATACTTCTCTTTCTCCTTATTTCATGGAACAATGGCTTCTGCTGGCACTAAGTGCAGGTGCTTCGTCGTGGCATAGTCAGGACGACCTTCTATCGGAACCTAGCACCCTTCCACGCTCACTTCCTCCATCAGATTCAGATCTGGCCGTAGTTGTTGGGGCCAGTCGTGCTGGAGAAGCGGAGAGGACAGAAACAAGGGACTCTCATTGGAGATGTTTGTCTCTGCCTCTGCAGTACTTCTTCGGAGCTTCCGCTATCTGTGGTTATACGGTTAGCCGTCGGATATCACACAGACAAGTTCACGGTGGAGAATGATGAACAAGGGGCGAGTTTTTCCAAGGCTAGGATCAGTGTTGCCGACTTTGAAGAATTTGATTATAGTGGTGCTCTATGTTGGGAGTGATGCTCAAAAGAGTTGATTATTCTAGTTATTATGTAGGGTATATGAAGTTTTGAGACAACTCTATCGATCTGGTTAATGTACTCAAGAATCAGATCCGTGAAGCTCCATTGAGATCTAGAGTTCTTGAGGAAATTTATCGTGTCTTCTACTTAAAAGGATGATTTGTTGTATTTGTCGTTCAAAACATGGCGAGATCTAGAATTCTTGAGGTAATTTATCGTGTCTTCTACTTAAAAGGATGATTGGTTGTATTTGTCGTTCAAAACATGGCCCAATTATATCTATTCAACGCAAGTGCAAATGCATCATGATGTGATAACATAGCACATAAAGAGGTTTGTTTTGCCATGAATTTGATCATTAGCCCTTTGCATTTTGTGAATTACCACTAGCTTTCTATAAGGGCTTTGAAAAATCAATGTATCATTGCACATAAAGAGGTTTATTTACAAAGTTCTATTCTATTTTGTGTAACTCTCTAATAGTTTGTATTGGCTCCTACTTATTCTTGCAGCTCAATTGAAACTATGTGCTTCCTGGAATCTTTGCTTGGCTGAAGGTAAATTATCTCAATATTTCAAATTTTCTTGTTCGACATTCAATAGCTTGATGGTTCCTCATTTATTTGATGAACATTTTCATCTGCAAATCAGACAGTCTTATTGCTTACTAATTACAATGATAGTTGAGACAATTGATATGGCATAGCTCCAACAATGGCTTGGAGGAGATGATGGTCACGATCCTTCAACGTATGCGGTGTCACCAGTGCGGCTGAGTCGCGGACTAGGTCGCTCTCTTTAAGACGTTCGCGGCATTGCCTTCGTTGCGCACGGCAGACTATCAGCCGGTCGCCTCCAGGATAAAACGGCCACTCTAATTTTGTTGCTCATCGGTTTTGTGCGAAAACCGGAGCTCTATGAACTCACTCTCTATCTCGTGTTTCTGCTCTCTGGGGTGTGTTTAGAGGGTCTAGGGGGTCTGCTATTTATAGGAGCAGAAAATTCCATCTAGTTACCCTGATCCTTCCGACATCCTCAAAGCTATCACGACTACTCTCCTCGGATAGCCTCCTCTTGATGGACACACCCCCTTTCCTTTTCTACACCTGGTGAGTGAGAAGGGGTTAGTCTCGTCCTTACTAAAACCTAAGGTCCTACGCATTCCCTTAATATAAAATGTTATGGGAATTTCCCCTCTTACGTGAAAGTCGTTCTCGCTTTCACCCTTTATAATCCATTCTCTAATTAACTTATAGGAGCTCTCTACTCCTATCCTCAATTCATACACATAATACTAGGGACCACCGCGTTACGTCTCGCCGTACGGTGTCCCTACCTCAAAAGCAATGGTAAGCATTACGTTTCACCGTCTAGCACCATGCCCGGTCAACTACTGCGTTATGTCTCGCCGTCCAGCAGTGACCCTATCATCTACTCCGTCCAATAGTGATCCAACCGCACGGGAGTTCCCATACTTTACTAACATACACACAAATCAACACATGTATTTATTTACACAAATAAGCACAACGCGTGCCTCCATCTTCAGAAGGCGGTGGGATACCTCAAATAAGTAAACGTGCATATCTCGTAAATTAACGAACTAAATTGAAATAAAAGACATAATCTAAAGGACCTCGACGGAGATTTTACCCGATTAACACTCACCTTGAAAAGACGACTCCTCGATTCCTTACTCGAAGAAATCCCTGCCTCGCCCAACTATCTTGGGAAAATCTATAAATTCATTTTTAGACGACCTTTCTCGAGTTAAAACCCCTTTTTGATTTACCAGAACACCCTCTCCTCAAAATCTCATCCTTGAACCTCTTTCCAAAGAACACTTAACCTCATTTAAAAATTTTCTTGAAATAATCCCTTAAAAATGACCTTTTTCTAATTAATTTCGTCTTGGATGAATTTCCCACCCAAATTAAACCTTCTTTAAAATCCGGATAACAATTTTTCGTTGTCGATCATGAGGACTTTTATCTTGAAAAATTATCAAATCCTTAAAAACACCCGATATGATTTTTATTTAATTAAAACCAACTTTCGACCAATTTCTAAAAGTATTGTTCATATTCAAACATCCTAAAAATAAATCACATACATCTCCTGGACCTTCTTCTATTTATAAAATTGTTAAATCCATAAAAAACACTTTCAATGGCTCGAAACAATTTAACCATCTTAAATAACGTTTTTGGAAATTCACTGTAGGTATATTGACTACCCAAATATGTCACTAAACATCTGTAAATATCGTCGCTAAAAACCCAGAATTGCACTCTCACAAAAAATCAACAAAACAACCAATTTAATTCGAAGGGATCGAGTTCCTTTACTTCTAGAACGAGCCTAGGACAAGATTTGAAAACTATACACGTCGATCTCCTCCTCGGTCAATGTTTGAAACCCTCAAACGTTATCATAAACACAATAATGTAAAAATACGAGTATCAGGTTAGATTATTGATGAAACAAGCTCTAAATAACGAGGGCTATCGTGACCCTTACTATCAAAGCACATGAACATGTCGAGTTCCCTTTCTATTCCCACTGCTTTGTATCGCGTGGAGTTGGAGAGGCGATGTGCGGGATGGAATGGGGCGCTGGGGAGGGGTTCCAAAACTCCGGTGTTGCTCTAAGAACCATGGCGATGTACGGGATGCCGGTGGTGAGGAAGGAGGTCGGTTTGGGAGTTTATTCGAGCGACTGGATGGGATTTCTCTCCTACTGCTCTCACTCATTGATTTGGGGGAAATTAGGTTTGGGGACAAAATGCGAAGTCACCAGGTCCGGGGTGAAAAGGGCTTAGGATAGGGTGAGTAACCCTTAGTTACTCATCCGTGAGTAACCACCTAGGAACCGTTGATCTGGGGCGGACGGATCGTGTGGCTGTCACTGAAGCGGGATGGTCAGGGGCATTTTTGTCCGTTATTTGAATTAATGAGTTTCCCCTTTTGTCCGTTGCGAACCTTTCTGTGCGCGAGTTGGATTCGGATTTTGGAGAGAGAAACTACGAGCAGGGGAGCAGCAGCTGAGAATCAAGGACGGCGATTCTCCATGATTGATCGACGGCGATAGAAACTGCGAGCAGCAGCTTCGAATCGAGCTTTCTGATTCTCCATAATTGATCGACGTGTGCGCGAGTTGGATTCGGTTTTTGTAGAGAGAAACTGCGAGCAGCCGCTGAGAAACAGGGGACGGCGAATCTTTTCTGATTCTCCATAATTGATCGACGACGAGGTTAGATATTAGTTTTTTTTATTCTTCCTGTTTAGCTAATCGAGTTTTCTGTTGATCTCTGGTTTCGTTGGAGGTTTTTCATTGCTGCTAGTCGAGCTTGTTTATGTTTAGCTAATCGAGCTTGTTCATGTGTTATGTTCTTTGTGTTTTGGTGTTTTTGCAGTATTCTGGTGAGATGAGTTACGTAAATTGTGGCGATGTTGTTCCAATTGATAGATCTGGTTCTTCAACCAGCGTTGTAGGATCTGGTTCTTCATCTAGTGCTGTTGGAACTGCTTCTTCATCTATCAATCTTGGGTTTGATCATTCAGCTAACTCTGGTGAATCAGGAGGTAAGATATACAAATTTGTTTGTTTATTGAAGTTTGTATAGTGTCGTAATTTGATTTTACCATGCCTTATCATGTGGTAATTGATTTTACAGTACATTACCATGTGGTAAAATGTGGTAATTAGGAAGTTAAATGTGAGGGTTCTGTGTGATAATTGATTTTACCATGCCATACCATATGGTATAGTGTGGTAATTTGATTTTACCATGCCTTATCATGTGGTAATTGATTTTACAGTACATTACCATGTGGTAATTAGGAAGTTAAATGTGAGGGTTCTGTGTGATAATTGATTTTACCATGCCATACCATATGGTATAGTGTGGCAATTTGATTTTACCATGCCATACCATGTGGTATAGTGTGGTAGTTTGATTTTACCAAGCCATACCATATGGTATAGTGTGGTAATTTGATTTTACCATGCCTTATCATGTGGTAATTGATTTTACAGTACATTACCATGTGGTAAAATGTGGTAATTAGGAAGTTAAATGTGAGGGTTCTGTGTGATAATTGATTTTACAATGCCATACCATATGGTATAGTTTGGTAATTTGATTTTACCTTGCCATACCATGTGGTATAGTGTGGTAGTTTGATTTTACCATGCCATACCATATGGTATAGTGTGGTAATTTGATTTTACCATGCCATACCATGGTGGTAACTCTTGTATCATGGCTGTAATTATTGGTATACATTGAGATTTCATACTGTTGTGGTGTGGAATCCATTTTATCATATCATACCATGGTGGTATTATATTTGTACATATTTAATATGTTGTTTCATAATATTTGTAGGTTTCAATGGTATAGATCCTACTGTTCGTGATTCTTGGAAGGACTTAGAGTTCAATACACCAGATGATGCATATAATTTTTATGTTGATTATGGGAATCATGAAGGTTTTGGTGTGAGGATTTATAACCAATCAGCGTGTCCGAAGCTCAATGGTGGTTCTTCAGCTGTATATTATATCAAGTATTGTTGCAATAAGGAAGGTTGGAAAAGAGGTAGTGATAATAACCCTGATAATGCAGGTGTTGTTGATACGACGGTTCGTGTTCGTAATGTTCCAGAACTCAGGGGTGGATGTAATGGTGCTTATATACGACTGAGGTGGTTTAAAGAGTTTAAATGCTACAAGATCTATCGTTGGTATAATGTGCACAACCATGACATGATTCCTGAGTCTCTGCGTCACTATGTGAGATCCAGCAGACGAATGGCTCATGTGTATAAGATGTTGGCAGAGGTGAATGATGCTGCTGGTATTGGTGTGACTTCTTCGTATAATGCAATTAGTAGGGCTGGTGGTGGTCGGAAGTTTGTTGGGTTCACAAAGAATGATTTGAAGAACCATCTGCGAACGGTTAGGACGTTATCAATGGAGTATGGTGATGCGACTGCATTGCTTGAATACTTTAGACGTCAAGCACAGCTGGATCCTGGGTTCTTTCATGAGGTGGAGGTTGATGTTGAAGAGAACATTGCTAGTATTTTTTGGGCAGATGGGCAGATGAGGATGGATTATCATTATTTTGGTGATTCAATTAATTTTGATACTACTTACCGGACTAACAAAGAGTATCGGCCACTAGGTATGTTTTCTAGTTTGTTGTTTATTATTGTCTTTGTTAGTTTGTATGATTATTATTATTATCATTTTGTATCATGTTTTTTTTTGTTCTTACAAGTCTGTACCATATGGTATGAGTTGGTATGGATTGCTTTTTTGTTCTTAAAAGTATTTTACCATATGGTATGTGTTGGTAACAAGGTTATTTGAGGTGGTTTTTGGGTTGTTAGAAGTTTGTACTATATGGTATGGGCTGCTATGCATTGTGTTTTTGTTCTTAAAAGTCTTTTACCATATGGTATGGGTTGGTAACAAGGTTATTTGTGGTGGTTTTTGCGTTGTTAGAAGTGTGTACTATATGGTAGTCTGGTGTGGATTGTTTTTTTTGTTCTTAGAAGTCTTTACCATATGGTACGGGTTGGTATTATTGTTATTCGTACCTTTTACCACATGGTATGTGTTGGTAGAATTGTTTTTACTCACATTTTGTTATGTTTTTGTAGCTTTGTTTGTTGGTTTCAACAATCATCACCAACTGACTGTCTTTGCGGCTGCTCTTCTATATGATGAAACAACGACAACATTTGAATGGCTTTTCGATCAGTTTTTGAAATGCATGGGAGGTGTGAGACCGTTATCAATGTTTACTGACCAGGCTGCTGCAATTGCTGCTGGTATAAGGTCTGTTTTCCCATATTGTTTTCATGGGTTGTGTACATGGCATATTGCTCAGAATGCAGTTGTTAATCTGGGAAGTTTGTGTGACTCTGACTTCCTTCGTGAGCTTAGTTATTTGATGTATAATGCTGATGATGAGGATGATTTTGAGTATAATTGGAAGAAGATGATTGAGAAGTGTTTTCCTAGGAAGGGACCTTTGGGACACAGTTGGTTACAGGGCATTTACAAAGTCAGGACGAAGTGGTCTTCAGCCTGGGTGAATTGTCATTTTGGTGCGGGAATGAAGAGTATAACCAGAAGGACATGTAGGAATCCCTTGCGTATAATATTTTTTCCAATACGGAGATAGAACTAGAAGGACATGTAGGACTGTTTGATGTCTTCATATTGGAGGATGACCTTACAAGGTTGGATAGTAGGTTGTTGAAGGTTGATTTTGAAAACGGTGAAATCAAGTGTTCCTGCCGTAAGTGGGAGTCAAGTGGTATGATCTGTAAGCATCAAATTAAGGGATATGATATGTTGTGGTCTACAACATGCAATCTGAAGTTCCAGCACATTCCTAGCAGTTTGATTTTGAAGCGGTGGACAAGGGCAGCGAAAACTGGAGGGAACTTTTCTTTTGAAGTTCCGTCTACTGATAGTCCATCGAAATACCGTTCTCGTCTTTTCAATCTGTCAGCTGTTTCTGCATCAATGATCAGCAGGGTTTCATTGGATGATGATTTGTATAGATCAGCGATGGCCTTCATGACTGATTTGATCAAAAAGTGTGAAGCCCTATCGATTACTGAACCTGCTGGAACAAGCACGTCTTCTAACGGTGACAATAAGTTTTTAATTGTTTATAGTTTGTTTTTGTTTTTGTTATCTGTCATTGATTGTAGTTTTTTTGTTATCTTGGTATAGATGATGTATCGGTCCAAAAAGTGAAGGGGTTTAAGCCTAAAAAAGATTCATTCAAGCCTTCGAAACGATCAGTTCCAGTTGCGGAGGCTGCAAGGGCTGTAAGTAAGAAGAAGAGAAAAACTAGCAGGCTTGAGGAGGAGAATTTGAAGGCTGTTGAAGAAAGTTTAAGGCTAAAGCTGTAATAGTTTTCTTAGAGGATTATTTGAATGAATGGTTGATGCTGGTTGAGTTGTTGAAGCTATTTTGTTCTTTTGGATTGGTTTTTGGTTTTGTTGGATTAATTTTACAATGTTATACCATGTGGTATAAGGTGGTAATTTGATTTTATCATGTCAAACCAGGTGGTAAAATATGCTATTTTGGAAGTTGAATGTGAAGGTTCTGTTTTATAATTGATTTTACCATGCCATACCATATGGTATAGTGTGGTAATTTGATTTTACCATGTGGTAATGTGTGGTAATTTATTTTACCATGTGGTAAAATATGATATTTTGGAAGTGGCATGTGTGGTAATTGATTTTACAGTGAATTACCATGTGGTAAAATGTGGTAATTTGGAAGTTAAATGTGAGGGTTATGTGTGATAATTGATTTTACCATGCCATACCAAATGGTATAGTGTGGTAATTTGATTTTACCATGCCATAGCATATGGTATAGTGTTGTAATTTATTTTTACCATGCCATACCATGTGGTAAAATATGGTATTTTGGAAGTGGTATGTGTGGTAATTGATTTTACAGTGCATTACCATGTGGTAAAATGTGGTAATTTGATTTTACCATGCAATACCATATGGTATAGTGTGGTAATTGATTTTACCATGCTATACCATATGGTATAGTGTGGTAATTTGATTTTTACCATGCCATAGCATGTGGTAAAATGTGGTAATTTGGAAGTTCTGTGTGGTTAACTGATATTACATTGCATACAATGTGGTAAAATGTGGTAATTTGGGAATTAAGAACACATGTTAAGTATTTGCTAACATAATAAAAAACAGAACATTTCATTT